CACCCCCTACTAAATTCAAAACTTAAATTGGGGCACATGCCCTGGGAACTTCATTTTTGGGGGGATTAAGGGTCCATTCACACATAGCGGTAGCGTTTTCCGAGCGGAACGAAGCCACACAAACGTTAACATGCGTGCGGATTCTGCGTGTTTGTGGCTATTACTATAGCCGCCATGTGTGGCATTCGCCCATAAAATCGCGCTTGGACTATTTTGTGGGACGCGCGGTTTCGTACTGCGTGGACGCCGCAATCGTCTGAACAATGCACATTGCAATGCATTGCTTTTCCTATGTTTACATGTTTCCGTATGCGTGGAAAACCGCTCATGTGTAAATGGAGCCTATGGGGTTTGGGGGACACTGTTGCTACACCGCTAGGACTGATAATGGGATCACAGGGAGGAATTCACACTTTAAAGGTGCACCGGAGACGTCTCCCCCCATCTAGAAAAGGTCTAAACCAGCCAGTTGCTCTTTCTTTTCTCCCGTAGGTTGCCGGTAGAAAGGGTTTCCCCCACGTCATTTATGCCCGCTTGTGGCGTTGGCCAGACCTGCACAAGAATGAACTGAAACACGCCGCGTTTTGTCGGTATGGCTTTGACCTGAAGTATGACAGTGTGTGTGTGAACCCGTACCACTATGAGCGGGTGGTGTCTCCTGGCATTGGTGAGTGTGGTCGGTCTTCACATATACGAGAGCTGTAGAGAACTATGAAGGAATAACTAATATTTGTTCTGTTTTATCGCAGGTCTGAGCATCCCGAGTGCGGGTGAGTTTGGTCTCCTCTAGTCCCCTCTTTGTCCTTTCTCTTCTCTTCAGCCCTTGCCTGAGTTTTTGGTTATTTGTCTTCTAGCCATGCAGTTTCAGTCTGTAAAAGAGGAGTTTTCTTATGACTCTGATGACGTGGAAGCTCCTTTGTGTGTCTCGACACCTCAACAGCTCCAGCCACCTGTCAAACACCCTCTCTTGCCGGAATTAACACCTTCAGATAGCTACAGACCATGTCTACAGCCTCTAACGCTACCCGAAAGCCCTCAGACAACTGTCGGCATGTACTCCAACATGCCCATATCACCATCTGGTAAGACCCTCTCCATTATCTTCCATTGCCTACTTCATCACATCAAAAGGGAGTTGGAAAACCATTTTATATATTGCTAGCGAGGCCTTCTAGGGTTGGGCAAAGGGTCTAGGCACCAAATATTTATGGGACAGGTAGTGATGTCACTTTATACATGACTGGTGAGACCTTATCTAGAGTTAAGTGAAGGCTCTTTATGCACCAGGTATTCAGGACAACACATGGGGATAAGGATATAACTTCACACATCTCTGATAAGACCTTCTCTAGTGTTAAGTGAAGATTCCCTGCACAAGATATCTAAGAGGATAGAGGGAGGTAGTGATATAACTTTATACATGACTAGTGGGACAACATCTAGGGTTTAGTCTAGGACTAAGGCCCTGTGCATTAGGTATTAACATGGACAAGTAGCTCTATCCCTTCATACACCACTGGTTGATGACACCAAAATGACAGTCATTTTGGTGTCACTCCCTCTAAAAAGTTGGGCACTCAGCCGAGAGCCTGACAGTGTCGGGAGAGAGGAGGGGACCGGGTGAAGGTCCCCTCCTCTCTCTGCCGGCGTCCATCACCAAGATGGCCGTCAGGAGCCAGCGTCAATAAGATGACCGTGCATGCGCGATGACGTAATCACGTGCATGGCGACATCACGCACATGATCAATGACGTCACTGCGAGGTGTCACCCGGCCTCGGGACGCCCCTGTCTCAATTCTCATCACCTATGCATTTTGGGGATTTTCTTCCCGGAACAGGGCTGTGTCATTGACAGAGTATAAGGTAGCTAGGTTTCCTGGTAATTTTTTGTCCATTCTCAAAATATGCCCTACTGAGGTTTAAGATGCCCTAACCTAGAATATAGGGGTCAGATCATACACCAGTCCTTCAATATAGCATTGACCATGTTTAGTAGATCACAGGCCACATCTCCTGTTTGAGTTCTGTGACATGTTGGTGTTTCCCACCAGCTCCATAACGTCTTCTTCTCGTGCAGTATTTCCTGGTTGCCCTCTGACTTCTCTCACACATGGTGAAGGCCTGATGCCAATGGCTCCTCCTCAGCGAATGGTGTCCACCTCTCCTTCTCCCACCTCCTCTCAGAACTCTCAGAGTAATAGTTACCTGTCACCACCCAAGCAGCCCTACCACAGTAAGTGCATCTGTGAGAACTTGAGGCCTAGTTTGTTTTTCCGCTTGCCTTCCGCTTGCCTTGAGCTGTCTGTTTTTCATTTTGCAGATTCCTGGACAGGGAGCAGTACAGCGGCGTTTACATCTAATCAAACACAATCTGATGGGAGAGGAGGTCAACAGCCAATGCTTCACCATCCCAGCCAGTACTGTAAGTTCCACATTGTTGACATTTGGTGCAGCCAACTTCCATGCTAACATCATTTTAGGGCGGGAGTGTGGTTTAAGCCCCAGATGCACAAACCTTGGACGGTTATAAACCAGCCCTTTTGGGTTTTAATCTAGACGTTTTTGGATATCACACGCCTAGTGGAAGAAATATGGTGTAACAGGGTCACGTGTGTGGGAGTGACCAGGACTTTAATGAATTGTTACCATCACAGAGAAAATAGGTGGGTGACCAACCAACTCTTGGGGTTCCCAGACCAGTGGCACACAAACACTCAAGGTCTCATTTTAAGGATGTCCAACTGTTCTAACATGTAACAAAATTGAAAGTTTGTGTCTATCTGTCCTTTCCTCAGGGCCCCTCCATCAGAGCACACCCCAGTACCAGCACGCTGTTTCCAATCACCCAGGTAAGTGTTGGGTTGGAGGCATTTATAGATTTGTCTGACTCTATCTCGGTGTGACTCTATCTCGGTGTGACTCTATCTCGGTGTGACTCTATCTCGGTCTGACTCTATCTCGGTCTGACTCTATCTCGGTCTGACTCTATCTCGGTCTGACTCTATCTCGGTCTGACTCTATCTCGGTCGGCAATGTGTGACCAATTTCTGTAACCTGCTTGCTTCTGAAAGCTCTGGACTTCTGGAGTTCCATCGCTTACTTTGAAATGGACATTCAGGTTGGAGAAATGTTTAAAGTGCCGTCGCACTGCCCCGTGGTGACAGTGGATGGATATGTAGACCCATCTGGAGGGGACCGATTCTGCCTGGGCCAGCTGTCCAACGTGCACCGTACTGACACCAGCGAGCGGGCCAGGTGAGACTCAGGATCAGGAATGCAACAGTCGTATCATTGACAGATCCATGGGCTGCCGTGTTTTTAGATTTGGGGCACTTCCCTATGGGAATCTTTCCCTTGTTTGGTTTTCTTTCATTCTCCTTCATAAAGCCAGGAAGAGTTGCTCAGCGACAGATGGTGCAGTTCTTCCATTACCTGTTCACCTTCTCCCATGTAAATGTGTGTGTGTGTGTGTGTGTGTGTGTGTGTTTCAGGCTTCATATCGGAAAGGGCGTTCAGCTGGAGTGCCGCGGCGAGGGTGATGTCTGGATGCGCTGTCTCAGTGACCACGCCATTTTCGTGCAGAGTTACTACCTGGACAGTGAGGCGGGCCAGGCCCCGGGGGACACTGTGCACAAAATTTACCCCGAAGCCTGTATCAAGGTGACAGTTCCTTCTTTTTCTCCTGCCGTTTAACCCCTTCATGACTGATGCCTTTTAATTTTTTTGCACCCGTGTTATATTCCACATTTTAGGCCTGAAAATTCCTTAAAACCCCCCCAAACATTATACATTTCTGAAAGCAGAGACCCTATAGAATAAAATGGCAGCAGTTACACATTTTTATGTTGCACGATATTGGCGCAACTCCTTATCAAACCCCATAATTTAGTGAAACATTTACCAGCAGGCTCCGTGTTGGATAGTTCACCTGCATCGGGCCCTGCAGCTCCTTGACGAGGTTCTCCATACGTTGCCAATGGCCGACCCCAATTTGGTCAAAGCACAATAAAATACCCATTTTTTTAATACACTATAAAAGATGAGGTTACAACGAGTAAATAGATACCCAACATGCCCTGGTTAAAAATTGCGTGCTTCCGTGAAATGGCGACAAACTTCAGTACCTCCCAAAAAGTCCATAGACGACGCTTTAAAAGCCCCCCACAGGTCATCAATTTAGAGATACCCTAGAATTATTGCTCTCACTCCGGCGTGCGCGGCGATACCCAACATGTGTAGCGCGTTTGTCATTTTCATACGTAGGCGCACCCGACGCGTGTTTACGCGGCGACACGTGTGCTGGTGGGGGACTTTAAAATGTTTCTTTTTATTATTCTAGATTTATTTAAACTTTTTTTCTTTTCTTTGATTGCTATAACATAGTGGGGCTTACAAGCCCCCCCCATGTGATAGCAGATGGTGGTGACAGGTACTCTTTAACCACTTGCCGTCCGCCCGTTGTAAAAAAAAAACGGACGGACGGCACCGCAGCATTGGTGGGCGGGCGCGCACGGGCAAAAAAGACCCGACCAATGCAAACACCCGTTACCGGGTGCTTCACATATAGACTATCGGCGCCTCCATAGCCCGCCGATCGTCTATGTGCTCGTTTCCCACCCCCGCAACCCCGGAGGCCGCCGCCGGTTTTTTGCCCCCCCCATGACCCCTCACCTTGAATCCCGGGATCCGCTACCCCATCTGCGGCTCGGGAGGGCGTCAGGAGGAGGAGGACGGGAGATCAGCTCCTTGCTGATCTCCGTCCTAAATAAAATAAGTCTGATATAAAAAAAGTTAAAAAAAAAACCCAAAATGTTTAACTCCCCCACCCCCACGTTTACGCACATATAAACGTAATAAATACGCGTCCGGTGCACCAGCGCACAAAAACGCTACGTCCCATCTTTTATATTTTACCAAAAAATTGGGTAATAATAAATGTTTTATCATTTAATATAGGGGAAACTGTTTTTTTGTTTTTTTTTTTTGTTTTTTTTTTACATTTCGGTCATTTTTCCTTTTAATATAGTAAAAAATAAACCCCAGTGATGATTAAATACCACCAAAAGAAAGCTCTATCTGTCCCCAAACAATGGTATAAAATTCATGTCAGTACAGCGCTGCATGACGGAATAAATGTCAGTCAAAGTACCGCAGCACTGAATACTGAAAAATGGCCGGGACAGGAAGGGGGTGTAACACCGCGGATGTCAACTGGTTAAGGTGATGCTGGGTGTCCAAAAGACCCCCACTGTCACCTTTACACTAGAAAAAAGCTATTGAAGTGCAGATCGCAGGTTTCAGGAGCCAATGACAGCTCAGGGACCGGAAGTGAAGTAATCTGCATTGCTCCCGGTCCCATAGAATGGGGAGGGGATCGGTGAACGGAGGTTTGTCCATCTCCTCCCCGCCGACACCAGAGAAGCCGGGCCCGTAGGAGGGAACGGAGCCTGGGAAGAATGGCGGGGGTGTCGGGCAGGAAGTGGGGGGGGGGCGCCTTCACGGGACTCTAGAAGCGATCTGGCGACAGCTGTTTCACCAGAATCGCTTCTATTCTAGAGCCGACGGCTTTACAAGTTTAAACAGCCCCGATGCTGGCGACGTACACTGTGTTAGTCGTGAAGGGGTTAAAATCTCTGCATCTGTAATCGGGAAACGCCTAACTTTTTGTTTGTTTTGTTCTTCTCAGGTGTTTGATTTGCGTCAGTGTCATCGGCAAATGCAGCAGCAAGCGGCCACGGCACAGGCGGCCTCAGCGGCTCAAGCTGCAGCGGTGGCTGGGACGATCCCTGGTCCTGGGTCTGTGGGTGGAATTGCACCAGCTGTCAGTAAGTACGGAGCATGGTAGTTGGCTATATAGGTTACTCAGGCATTATACCAGGGACAGGCAAACTCCGGCCCTCCAGCTGTGGCGGCACTACCAATCCCATCATGCATCTGCCTCTTGGAGTTGCATCTGTGGCTGTCTTGCAATTCCTCATGGGATTTGTAGTTGCACCACTGCTGGAGGGCCGGGGTTTGCCAGCCTCTGCTTTAGGTGATGGTCCGATACAGAGGCAAAATTTGAGAGCATTTTACTTCATTGAAGTGTGTGTGTGTGTGTGTGTGTGTGTGTGTGTGTTCTGGACTAAGTTGGTTAGATTTGGGGATGACCATCTGGGTACCACTTGTGACCCAACTCCTCATTGTTCTGACATGTTCTCCTTTGTAGGTCTGTCAGCCGCGGCCGCCATTGGCGTGGATGACCTCCGCCGTCTCTGTATCCTGCGCCTCAGCTTCATCAAAGGATGGGGACCGGATTACCCGCGGCAGAGCATCAAGCAGACTCCGTGTTGGATAGAAGTTCACCTGCATCGGGCCCTGCAGCTCCTTGACGAGGTTCTCCATACGTTGCCAATGGCCGACCCCAATTCGGTCAACTAGTGGAGGCCGGTTAAGTGTGGACAGTATATGGTATCAGCCTCTTATCTCTACCACATGATGTTTTTCTGGGTTCTCTGGAGTCTTTTTAACATAACCAAACAAATCCTACGTGATTGGCAAAGTGCTATCAGACATCCCTTTATCCTACAGAGTGATCCACCGGCGGTCCATTGTTAACAAGATTTGAGAGGTCCACCTATACCACATGGCTAAAAGTGTAGAAACCTCAACGACGCATGTGATCTTCTCGGGCATTGCATTCCAAAACTATGGCCTTTTATTATGGGGTTTTGCCCCTTCCCCTTTGTGACTATACCATCCTCCACTCCTCTGGAAAGTCCCTCCAAGATTTTGGAGGGTATCTGTGGAAATTTGTACCATTTGTGAGGTCAGGTACTGATGTTGGTTGAAAAGACTTGACTCACAATTGCCATTTGATTTCATCGCAAAGGTGTTCAGTAGGGTTGAGTTCAGGGCTTTGTGCAGGACACTCGGGTTCCTCCACCAAGCTGGTCACACCATGTCTGTATGGAGCGTTGTACACAGGGGACAGTCATGGTGGGACAAAAGGGTCTACACCAAACTGTGACCACAAGGCTGGAAGAGCCCAATTGTCTACAATGTCTTTGTATGATGGAGAATGCACAGAACCTTCACTGGAGACACCTGACCTCCATCATTGGGAGGAAGGTCGCCTACATTTGGCCATATAGTGAATTTCCAAGAACATTTAACTGACTACAGAAGGAACCTAAAAGGCAGATAGCTTCCGAATATGAAAAATAACTTTCACTATGCCATTAAAAGACAGATTGGGCTACCTCAGTTGCAGACCCCCCGACTTTCCACGCCGCCGAAAGACTTTTAAAGCTGCCTAAAAAGAGGCAAAAATGGTTTTAGGGGGTTGGGGGCTGCGATGAAACTGGTACCAAAAGCCGTTACCAAATATTGCAACCGAGGGACGACTGCGGAGGGCGGACATTTTATTTTATATAAAGAAGTTTCCTCCACATACGAACGGACTTCTAAATAAAATATTTATGTATTATT